GTTTTCTGGTGGTTTATTGGAGATAGGAGTCTCACAGTCTTTCCTGCCCGGGCTGGCTTTGAACCGCGATCCTCAGATCTCAGCCTCCTGAGTAGCTAGGATTACAGGCGTGAGCCACCAGCGCCCGGCTCTAATTTTTTTTTTAATGGGGGTAAGATCTAAAAACATCACTTCTCATAGCAATTTCGTTTTGTCAATTGTTTTGTTATCCTCTGATTCACATTTTCAGTAGATGTTCACTGAGTATGTAGATTTGCCACAGACTAAGCTGTTTTTGGGGTCTAGGACTTGGGGTGCAGAAGGCCAGAGTTGAAGCTGGGTGCTGCGGTCTCACGCTTATAATCCTAGTTACTCAGGAGGCTGAGATCTGAAGATTGTGGTTTGAAGCCAGCCTGGATAGAAAAGTCCCCAAGACTCTTCTCTCCAATTAACCAGCAAAAAGCTGGAAGTGGAATTGTAGCTCAGATGGTAGAGTTGCCAGTCTTCAATGACAAAGCCAAGTGAGGGATGGATGCCCTGAGTTCAAGCCCCAGTACTGGCACACACACAAAAAGCCAAACATATTGAAAGGAAACAAAATATGCCTTTCCAGTTTGTTATAAGACAGAAACCACATGTGATATTCACATGTGCACAGGTATTTATTTCAGTGAGATAATCCATACTTAGCAGACTTGAAGAAGGGATGGTGTTGAATGAGCAGTTTGATAGCAGTTGCTCTTGTGTCTCTTTCAGAAATCAAGTACTACGATGAGCTGTGCATGGCGATGGCAGAGGACCTGAATGCTGTCATTGTCTCCATTGAGTAAGTCACCCATGCTAGGTGCACAAGTTTTGATAACAAAGGCATCTCGATAACAGTGTAGTGATTCTATTTTATAGGGGTTGGAGTGCAAAATGCTCCATTTGCCCAGAAGTTACACAGCATCATCAGAAAAAAAGACTTCTAGTATAACCTAACTGAAATACATTTATTTATGTTTGCATATTTATTTCCTTTCTTCCTTTTTTCTTTTCTTTTTCTTTTTTTTTGAAAAAGGGTCTCACTCTGTAACCCAGATTAGCCTAGTCCACACTGTGTAGCCAGTCTGGTCTCAAACTGAGATCCTCTTGGCTCAGCCTCCCTGGATTACAGGCATGTGTCACTTAACAAATATGTCTCACCATGCCTCACCTTATATCATTATTACTAGTAGTGTGAATTAACATCGTCCTTTGGATTGAACCAATGGCCTCATATGTACTAGAAAGTTCACTGTTCTAAGTTGAGCTATATTCGCAGCTTACCTTCTTTTTGTTGTTTTTGACCCAGGGCCTCACTGTGTGGCCCTGGTTGGTTTGGAGTTTGAGGTCCTCCTGCCTCAGCCTCCTGATTGCTGGGACTACAGGCATGTGCCATTTGTGGGCATTTGCAACCACACTTAACCTGTATGTCTGTGTGCCTGTGTGCATGTGTGTGTTTGTGTGTGTGTGTGTGTGTGTGTGTGCATGCGCGTGTGTGTGCAGTATTAACGCTTGAACTCAGGGCTTCATGGTCAAGGTTAGTGTTTTACCATTTCCATTTGAACCATGCCCTCACCTCTGGCTTTCTGCTGGTTAATTGGAGATAATAGTCTCTCATATTTGTCTTGAGTGGCTGGCTTTGAACCCTGATCCTCACATCTCACTAACTGAGTAGGGGGAGCCACTGGTGCTTTTCAAAATTATTATAATTTTATCATTATCACATTCTGAAGATCAAACCCATGGCTTTATGCATACTAGAAAATCATTCTACCCTTGAGCCTACTTTCATTTTGTTTTTGTTTCTCTCTCTCTCTTTTTTGTAGGGTGGGGGGTGGTCTCTGGGCTTGAACTCAGAGACTGGGGGCTGTCCCTGAGCTTTTCACTCAAACTTAGAGCTCTACCACTTTGAGGCACAGCTCCATTTCCAGTTTTCTGGTGGTTAAGTAGAGATAAGAGTCTCACAGACTTTTCTACCCAGGCTGGCTTTGAACTGTGATCCTCAGATCTCAGACTTCTGAGTAGCTAGAGTTACAGGCATGAGCCACTGGTGTCTGGCTATTTTTATTTTTGAGTTAGGGTCTTACTGTGTAACCAAGGCTGTCCTCAAACTCAAGAGTCTCACTCCTCAATCTCCCTAGGGCTGAGATTACAGGCATGCACTACCATATCTAGCCCTGCCTATTTATTTTGGCTTTACAAACTTTTGGGAGAGAAACAATACAAATACAGCTATCTTAACCATATAAGTTTGATGTTAATTTTTTTTAAAGTATAAAGCAATAATGATATTAAAAGAATCTCTTTTTAGATAAGGTTGGAAAAGCTATTTTCATTTAGTTCATTTACATGACTTGGACCTTAAAAAGTAGAAATGTGTTCAACAAACCTTAATGGTATAATTGTTAATAATGATAGTGTTTTGAATTGTCCCCACCATTTCTCTGCATGCTACTTCTCTAGGTGACTAAGAAGACTATGAATAAGAAATTCAGGCCAGGTGCTGGTGGCTGAAGCCTGTAGTATTACCTACTCAAGCGGCAGAGATCTGAGGATCCCAGTTCTATGCCAGCCTGGGCAGATAAATCTGAGAGACTCTATCTCCAGGTATCAGCAAAAAGCTAGAAGTGGAGCTCAAGTGGTAGAGCACTATTCTTGAATGGAAAAAGCCAAGTGAGATCTGGAGGCCCTGGGATAAATAACATATATATATATATACATATACATATATATATATAGTATATATATATGTATATGTATATATATATATATATATATACATATACATATATATATATAGTATATATATATGTATATGTATATATATATATATATGCATATTTAAGTAGAGCACTTATCCAGTGTGCTAGGTTCAATCCTCAGCATTGACAAAAAAAATTCCTTGGTACAAACCTGTAGACTAATTTTTCAGTTTTGGTGACCAAATAATACAGTTGGATGGAAAACTGTTTTACTACTGCTTGGTTTTAGTACTTTTTTGTTTTCAAGGAAAACTTTTAAGTTAGCCTCTCTTTTTGTTTAAATGGTATTTTTTTTTACTATCTTTTAGTAGTTGTACAAAGGAGTTACCATTCAATCAATCAGTTTATAAGTGCAATGTGTCTTGATCAATGTCACTTTCATTATTTTCCCTAATCCCTCCCAACCTCACCCCTCCCTTCAATTTCCTAGTTTCCTAGTTTTTCTCATTACATCTCTAAGGTGTTGCTTTGATTTAAAATTTAAAACCAACACTTGGGTTGTTGGCCATTATGGTGCCCCAATTGAGATCACAACTTCATTTCTGTGTGTCTTTGCCAGTACTGGGGCTTGAACTCAGAGCCTTGAGCTCTAGCTTAGCTTTTTTCCTCAAGGTTGATGCTCTACCACTTGAGCTAGATTTCACTTCTGACTTGTTGCAAGTGATTTGGAGGTAAGATTCTCTTGGGATTTGTCTCCCCAGGCTAGCTTTGATCCTTGGTCCTTAGATCTTAGCTTCTTGAGCAGCTAGGAGTATAGCTGTGAGCCCTGGCTGACAAGAAGGCTTTGTTTTCTTGGTGCTGATTTTGGAGCTTGACCTCAAGGTTTTGCCTTCTTGCTTGGCTTTTCTGCTCAAGGCTGGTGTTTGCTGCTTGATCCACATCTCCACTTACAATGATTTGCTGGTTAATTGGCGACAAGAGTCTTGGACTTTTCTGCCCATGTGGCTTCTAGCTGCAATCCTCAGATCTCAGCCTCTGATTCCCTAGGATTATAGGCTTGAGCCACTAACACCTGACTAGAAGTTTTGTTTTTGTTTTTTTTAATTTCAAGACAACTAAAATTCCAAGGACGGATGTTATCTTAATTTCCTTTTGGGCCCCATTTTTATAATATACCATCCAGATGTTTACCAATGGGGCACTGTCATGAGGAGTAGTACATCATGGTACACAGGATGCCCGGCCCCCACACAAGTCCCTTACAGTCATGAGGTTAGGAACCCTTCCTGGGTGTTTAGAATCAAAACAAGTAATCATCTTTTTGGGATCCCTAGCACCCACCTCGTTCAAGACTTCAAATATGCATGCTAAGTACAGACAGATTGACAGACAGAGTTGCCCTGGGGATCAGCTGAGCCAATTGGCTCTGAAAGGACTCAGATATTCTAGAACACTAGACAAATCTGCACGACTAGTGTGGTAGCCCATAGACAAAAGCCAGGCTACACACCTATTGCCCAGTGTGTGTTTGCGATCCCTAGCACTTGTTCTTTTTTTTTTTCTCCACCAGGCAATTCAAGTTCGGCCTGGACACAGAGGGCATTGTGACCTGTGCTCGAGTTGCAACACAGCCAGAGTCAGATGACTGTGTTTTCTCTCTCGGAAAGAATGTTAGGAGAGCTCATGTGGCAGCATATTTCCTCTCTGTAGCTTTTCTCTCTCACTTTGCTTCTATGAAGAACTATTAGACACATGTACATACACACACATGCACAGATACATGCATGGGACTGGAGTTTGAATTCTAAGTCTCAAAGTTGCTAGACAGGTGCTCTGCCACTGGACCATGCCTACACCTTTTTGTGCTGGTTATTTTTTAAAGTTATTATTATTGGGGCTGAGAAGGTGGCTCAGTGGTAGAGCGCTTGCCTTGCATGCATGAGGCTCTGGGTTCGATTCCTCAGCACCACATAAGCAGGAAAAAAAAAAGCCAGAAGTGGCACTGTGGCTCAAGTGGTAGAGCGCTAGCCTTGAACTGAAGAGCTGAGGGACAGTGCCCAGGCCCA